GAGGAAGGGGAGATGGGAGGAGGTGGGGGGAAGATGGAGAAGGGGGAGGGGTGTGAGGAGGGAGAATGGAGAAGAGGAGAGAGGGGAGGAAGGCCAGGGGAGAGGAGGAGGAAAGGAAGGGAGAGGAGGCGGTGCAACCAGGCCAGGCACACAGGGTTCCCATCATGGCCTGTGTAGACCATCCACTCGGCTCTCATGTAGGAGATTGGAGATCTGCTACAGAACCGCGGCCACGAATGGGGGGTGACCACGGGTAGGAAGAGGCGCTGTGGCTGGTTAGACCTGATGATTCTGAGATACGCGCACATGGTCAACGGATTCACGGCGTAAGCAACCCCTCCTCACAGCTATCCCACCGCCATCCCCACCGGGACCGTGGGAGTGCAAGGGGAGCCCCTACCCCTCCTGCCCGCTGAATCACCAATGTGACTTTCTCATGGACAGGGAGAAGCGGGGGGCCCACAGGGGCTTCCTGCAGACTGACCCAGGTGCCTCTCAGGGGATAGGAAAGCAGCTTTATGGGACGGGTGGTTTGCAGCTTCCTCTCTGGCTCGGTTGGATGGGCCAGGGCTGTGAGGTGCGCATTTCTCCCAAAAGTTGAGAGCCTTGACCAAAATTCCTCAAGAATTAACCAGAGTTCTCCCGTGGGTATGGAGCCAATGGTCGATGGAAACAGAGGCACTGAGTGGAAGAGGATGTGCTGCCTGAGCTCTCTGACCCTATTTCCCTGTGTGCCAAGGAGGACTCATGGCGCCCACCTCATGGAGTGCCAGAACTGGGGTAGGGGAGAGACAGCACCCCATACATGGCTGGCACCACTCAGGTGGGGAGACCATCTGAGAAGCCTTCTGCATCTGGAGGTCCTTCAGGCCTTGCACACGGAGGCAGGAAAAACAGGAAGGAGAAAAGGAAAGAAACGCTCAGCTAGAGCCTCTGGCATGAGGCCCAGTGCCCAGGATGAACCAGGAGAGGTGCTGCTGTCACTGGCATCGGCATCCTCTGTGAAGGCAGGCAGATGGCACAGGAAGGAGATTCAGATGTGGGTGCCCTGCTCATGGGCTGGCTGCAGGGCAGCACTAGATCCTAAACTCAGCCATGCCATTCAGTGAATGTGGTCAGAGCCATGGGTGGGCAGCAGGCACCATGTCTGAGGACCAGCGAAGGAGAAAATGGGAGCTTTGGGAGTAGGGGGTCTTGATAATGCTCCAGGTAGGAAAACTTGAAGGGACAGAGACAGGTGCAAGGCCCAGAGGCAAAAGTTCCTGTGGTCACACCTGCTCCCCTATGGCATTTTTCTGGGGTCACACAATCTTTCTTTTTTACTCACTGTAAATAACAGAGGAGAAACAAAAGGGTGAAAAGTAAACAACTCACAGTATTGCTGACCACCCCAGTCATCTGGTCTCTTGGATTTGGACAGGCTGGCCTTGAGTCCAGCATTGCTGACCATCCCGGTCGTCTGGTCTCTTGGTTTTGATAGGCTGGCCTTGACAAAACTGGACATCCTGGATGTGATGAACGAGATTAAAGTTGGTGTCTCGTATAAGCTGAATGGAAAAAGGATCCCCTATTTCCCAGGTACATGAAACAAGACAGCAGTTTTCTGCCCAGTGGCCATTTCATGGGCATTGGAATAGACAAGACCCATGATTCCTCAGAGATGGGGAAAGAGGTTCCCACATCCAATAGGGGAAGGGTGAGCCGCTGGTCTCCCAAGACTAGCCTCCACAGCGCCTTCTGGTGGTTTGGAAATGGCTCAGAGGGACAGGCTTCAGGTGTGACCCAGAGCCGACTCAGCCCCTCTCCTGGATCTAGGGATCTTCAGCTGCCTTAGGGAGAGGCCCACCTCCAGGGAGTTCTGGTACCCTGCGAGTTAGTGAATGTGAACAGCTCTGAAAATCTAAAGCTCTCTGCAGATCTAAAGGATGGCTATCTAGAAAACATGCTTTCAGAGCTGGGTTTCTAACCAGGGTTTCTGTTCCCAAATGTCCTTTTTTTTTTAAACAGCCTGGAGTGCAGTGGCACAATCTTGGCTCACTACAGTCTTGATCTCCTGGGCTCAAGCGATACTTTCGCCTCAGCCTCCCCAGTAGCTGGGACTACAGGTGTGCGCAACCATGCCCAACTAATTTTTTAAAGTTTTTGTAGAGATAAGTTCTCTCTATATTGCCCAGGCTGGTCTCAAACTCCTGGGCTCAAGCGATTCTTCTGCCTTGGCCTCCCAAAGTGCTGGGATTACAGGTGTGAGCCTCCATCCCTGGCCTCCAGCTCTTCTTTTGGAATACATGAAGGAGTAGCTATATCCCCCAGACTTCACAGTTACATGTGCCGCTGGACATGACCCTTGACCTCAGGCCAGGGTCACATTCTGACCCCCCCCAACAGCTTCCTCCCCAGTGGCCCCAAGTGAGCTGCCCCAAGTGAGTCAGCTGGTCTCCCCTGAGTAGGTTTTTGTAGACCCCCAAAGGGCCACATGACTACAGAAGCCATGTGCGTCCTTGCGGGCAGTGTCCCCTAGTCCTGCTGACCCCTGACCCTTGAGAACCACACTTCTGAGGCCTGTAAGGTCTTCGTGGTAGGCTAGAGCCCCAGAGGCAGCAAACACAAAGCACCCCTGGGATAGCATGCACACTTACGGGTCCGAGGCACACACCTGAAGCCCAGCTTCAAGGCTTTGACTTTCTTGCAGCAAGAACCCATGTCCCAGAGTCTTCTGTCAGTAAAGAGCAATGGGCTTCTGCCGTGAGCCACAAAGTCCAGCATGGAGAGGGATCCCTGCCCTTGGGGAGCTGATGCTCTCTGGTGGGGGACATAGATCTTAAAGATTCCTTAGTGCTTCAGGATTCTAGTTTCTTAGAATTTCAATGTGGGGCCTTGGAGTTCCTCAGTAGACATCACCATGGAGTCTAGCAGAGCAGTTAGCAAGTACATATTGTGTTCCTCTGGCCTGGAAGGGGCCCAGCCAGAGTCCAAGCCCCACTGCCACCCCCTGGTCACCACCCAATGCTGAGAAACCAAACAGGGCACTTGCCCGCCCTCAATGCCTTTCTCCATGCTGAGTCCCTGGGCAGGCAGGCCCTGGGGTGGAGGTCACTGTGTCCCCAAATGGCTACTACCCTGGCACTCAGAAGTCTGTGGAGCCCCACTCATCCCCGTGTGGTTATCCAGCTAACCAGGAGATACTTCAGAAGGTCGAAGTTGAGTACGAGACGCTGCCTGGCTGGAAAGCAGATACCACAAGTGCCAGGAGGTGGGAAGACCTGCCCCCGCAAGCCCAGAGCTACGTTCGCTTTGTGGAGAACCATGTGGGAGTTGCAGGTGAGTGCCCTTCATCCCGGGCCACCTCTCCCTGCACCCTGGATGCTCCAAGGAGCCCACATCCCAGCACAGGACTAGGTGAGCGATAAGAAAGTCAGCTAAATGTGGTTGCCAAGTGAACGTATCAGACAGTGAGCAGGAGCAGGGCTCAGGGCAAGTCCAGGAACAGTTCCTTCTTAGGATCCAGACGATAGATGGGACACATCACGCCTCTGCAACATATGGTCACTCTCACAGCACAGGGATATTTGCACCTATAGAGAAAGGGCCTGCCAGGACAGGTACCGCATGTAACTAGGGTGGCCACGTCCAAGGGGCAGGATTGAGGAGGGAGGGGGAAAAGACACCTGTTTTCTGCTGCATGCAGGTTAATTCTCCCAACATGCATTACCTTCAGAACTTAAAGATTAGAATGGCTGCCATCTGGAGAAAAAATAGCCCCTCTTACCAGATGAATTACATTAAAAGATGAGACACTAAAGAGAACTGCACTCCCTGAACCTTCCACCCCCCGAGTATGTGGTAACGATCTTTTCTGCCCTTTCAGTGAAATGGGTTGGTGTTGGCAAATCAAGAGAGTCGATGATCCAGCTGTTTTGATGTGGGCCAAGCCAACCCAGCAGGCACCGCAGCGTGCTGACCGCGTTAACAGCACAATCATGTTCCTCAGCTGTCACAACCAACACCGTCAACAAGAGATACAAAATCCATTTTCTGTACTTTTATATTTCTATTTTAGCCTTCAGCTCAACCTGTTGATTTCCACCATGATTTTAAACACCAGAAAGCCAACCCTGTATACATTTTTAAAAATTCTATTTAATATGAGCCAAAGTGCTCAGAGCAGAGACCTTCTATGACACGTTAGTGTCACGTTTGTGTGTCCAGCTGGAGCAATATCATAATAAACAAATCCAGTAGCCACTGAAAGGGAGTGGTCTTTACACGTTGGTTTGACTCTGTCCTGTTGCCTTTAAATGCTAAAAGGTGACAATTCACTTCGACAAGAGTCTGGAGAATGCAGCTTTTTAAAAGCTGCCCACACTTTTGGTATCACAAACTCAACCTGTGTGTTTGCTCAGAAAACAAAGTGGAATAAGCCCATGTAAGAGAGACCAAGTGGGGTGGGGAGGTACAGTAGCACACGCCTGTAATCCCAACACTTTGGGAGGCTGAAGTGAGAGGATTGCTTGAGCCCAGGAGTTTGAGACCAGCCTGGGCAACACAGCAAAACAGCATCTCTAAAAAATAATTTTTAAAAATTATCTGGGCATGGTAGTGCACACCTGTAGTCCCAGCTACTCAGGAGGCTGAGTCAGGAGGATTGCTTGAGCCCAGAAAGTTGCGGCTATAGTTAGCCATGATTGTGCCACTAGACTCCAGCCTGGGCAACAGAGCTAGACTCTATCGAGAGACGGAGAGAGAAAGAGAAAGAGAGAGAGAGAGAGAGAGAGAGAAAACGTGCACATGCATTAAATATGTTTTTCAAAACTAAACTTATAAGCAAGCTACACTCTAGAGCTGTCACTTGGGCAGGGCCTGCCTGGGCTGACCCTGACCCAGAACTGACTGTCCTTGTTCTCTGGAGACAGTGGAGCCCCACCAGCAACCTCCTTCATTTCAGTAGGAGACACTTGGTGATCATCCTTCTGGACTTCATTTGATTGGATGAGCCACATCCTAACTGGCCAAAGCTGTACGGAGCTCATGGTGGTCAGTGCTCACCTGAAGGCTCAGTAGCTTCCTTACGTTCCAGAGTTTGGAGTTAATTTAGGAAAGTTTCAGAGTGGAAAGGAATTCCATAGAGAGACCAGAGTCTGCCAGGGTCAGATCCAGACTTTTTAGCACTGATATGTCAGCTGGTCTCACCCAGAAGTGCCAGCTCACTTGCTTCCCAGTGGCCCCCACTGGCCCAGGAAGTTCCACAGGCTCCAGGCTGGCAGCTCGCATGGCAGGAAGCTACCATAGTGGGGCTCCAGGGGCATGGCTCAATTCTGAGATTTCTGTGACTCCAAACATGCTAGCAAACTTTTCCAGACATTGCCAAGACTGGTCTTCAGGACCTCAGTGACCCTTGAGACAGAAAACACGTTTATGCAACTGCTTGCTCCTTCTCCGGGCCATGGGATCTTCCCTCCCTGGGCCTCAAGTCCCTCAGCAGCACAGCTACTTTGGGGTAGAGGTGGGAAGCACAAGCAGAAAGTGGCCTTTGTTTCCTTCTATAATATATCAAGAGGGACCAAAAAAAAAAAAAAAAATAGCCCTGAGCAGAGGTAAGGGGAGTGACGGCCTCCCAGAGGACATGTGCCTCCTTACAAGACTGTCTTGAGTAACTTGCCAGGCTGCAGAGAGATGCGTGCTTTGACAACCAACCACAGTGGACATTTTTCAAAAGAAAGAGAAATCATTTCCTTCTGTATAAGGAGTTACAAGTCTGGTTTTGCTTGTTTAACCTGCCACTTAGAGCTACTAGAGGTTTCAAATCAGTACTGTGTGGGAGCCACTGTTTTCCTTCCTTTCCATGGGTGGAAACTTGGGTTTTCCATGAGCTTAGGCTCCCCCTACCCACTGGACTTGCGAGGCATGTGGCCCACATCTCCCTGCAACTACACATCATACACCGCCTCCGTTACTTCCTGTGTTGTCATGCTGCCGCCTTGGTGTCTCACCTGACCAACACACTCAGACTAATCCTCTTTCTGGTCATACTCACCTAGAGAATGGCCATCATGGTTGGGATACACAAGGACAACTGCCAGTATAGCAAGTGAGAGAGCCATTGGGCATGGGTCAGACACTGAGGCATCAGGCTGTTGGCCAGGATAAAGAAGTGTCCTGTGAAAAGCACACTGTAAACACTACAACCACCTCCCCTGAGCCTCCAAAGGGCAGGGCTAGATCTGTAGCCACTCTCCAGAGAGAGACTGAAGGGCCAAATTAGAGGAAGATGATGACAATAATGTTGTTTAATAGGACATATTTTTTCCTAACACTTGGGAAAGCTGCAAATTTCTTTAGAAGTTCCACAGACATCTACCCTACCACTCACCCTGCCACTCCCAGGTACTGACCCAAAATAAATGAGCATGTATGACCAGAAGAGGCCTTATACAGGAATGTTAGGAGCAGCCACATTCATCCCAGCCATGCCTGGCACCAGCCCAGGTGTCCACCAGCAAGGCAGTGGGTCAACAAACTATGGTCGTCTACATAACAGAAGACACTCTGCAACAGAAAGGGAATGACTGCCAGTGGGTACAGGAAGATGGATGGATCTCAAAGTCAGCATGCCAAGGGAAGAAGCCAAATGCAAAAGCACACGTGGGGAATGAGTCCAAACACATGAAGTTCTAGAACAAGCAACACAGCAGGAACAGGAAGCAGAGCCATGGTCACTTCTGCCAGGGTGGGGAGAGACAGATGAGGTCCCCAGGTGTGTGTGATCGTCATATGAACTGTGCACTTATGATCTGCACATGCCGCCAGATATAAATATATACTATTTCACTGTAAATAAATTATGCCCCAATTTAAAAGTGACTGAAAGTAATATAACCATATTACTAATCTTTGGAACAGCTGAGATGACACTTGCTCAAAAATGTAGGACCCTTCTGGCAACTTTGATGAAATGTTCTAGTGACTTGTTCCTGCCAGCCTTGTCCTCTGTGCATTGCTGGAGAGGTGGTTTTGCCGTACTTGTTGTGGGAAAACAGAAAATGTGTTCCCTCCTCAACATGTTCCTTTCACAAAGTCCAAGTGTCCAAGGTCAGATCACGCCACTTGGCAAATGCTTCACACGAGTTTGTTTCTGGATGATTTCCTGTGGTGCCCCTGCCCTGGGCAGGGAAGGTCTCTGTGGTCTGTCTCCACAGACCACAGTGATTCCCTTTCATGACACTGCTTCCAGCAGAGGGCAGGGAACCTGTGGTAGCTACTCAAAACCACCCCCGAGGGCTAACACAGAGTCTGGCCCTGTTATGGGCTGAATCATGTCCCCTCAAATTCATGTGTTGAAGCCCTAGTCCCCAGGACCTCAGAGGTGACTATTTGGAGAGAAGGGGTTTTAAAGAGGTGATTAAGTGATAAGGCCCTAGGGGTGGACCCTGAGCCAAATGACAGATGTCCTTATGAGAAGAGATCAGGACACAGACACATTCAGAGAGATAACCACGTGAGGACACAGAAAGAAGGTGGCATCTACATGCCAAGGATGAAGGCCTCAGGAGGAACCAGCCCTGCTGTCACCCTGATCTTGGACTGCCAGCTTCCAAAACTGTGAGAAATAAATGTCTGCTGTTTTAGCCACCCGGTCTCTGGTATTTCGTTCCATCAGTCCAAGCAGAATAATACACCATTAGTGGACCCAAAATAAATGTTTCCTAAATTACAATTAGACTGAAGTATGAAGGAGCGAAGAAGAGTCTATTTGCATCACGTTTTGCACCTATCCACTATGTCTCAAGATCCTAAGGCAGTTTCAAGTCTAAACACAAAGAAATCCTTAAAAATTCCCAAGATCTGTAAGATTAAAAACTGTCTTCTTCTCTGAGAATTCCATCTGTGTCCGGGATAAAAAGTCACTTGTGTGTTTGGTCACAAGTGACTCCAGAACTGCAGTTTTCAACTCACTTCCCTGAAGTAGAAGGAACACTCAGCTGCACAGGCGAAGTGGGAAGAAGAGACAGCACAGGGATCCAGTCAGAGGGAGGAGGGGAGGGAGCCAGCTCTGGTGACAGGACTTTGGAGAAGGGATGAGGTGGCATCCAGCCAGAGGGAGGAGGGGAGGAGACCCTCTGAGGACAGGACCCTGGAGAAGGGACGACACGGGGACCCAGTCAGAGGGAGGAGGGGAGGAGGGCCCTCTGGTGACAGGACCCCGGAGAAGGGACGACGAAGGACCCAGTCAGAAGGAGGCAGGAAGGGGAGCCCTTTGGGGACAGGACCCCGGAGAAGGGACGATGTGGGGACCCAGTCAGAGGGAGGAGAGGGGGCTCTCTGATGACAGGGCCTGGAGAACTCACAACTACAAACTGGGAAGAAGCGAGTCGCCCTCCCGCTGGGAAATGAGGAAATATCACTAGCGTCCGCAGTTGTTTGGAGACAAAAATCCGCCGACAGGAGTCCTGCAGCCAACGAACCCCGTCAGCGCCTCACACGAGGGCCGCCCGCAATGCACAAGCTCCGCCCCAACTCTCCCGGGCCCCGCCGCGCCACCGGGAACTCACCTGGGCCCCCGGCACTTCCCTCGTCGCGCCGTCCGGGGCGGACTTGGTCTCCGGCTTATCTCAAGCCACGCCCCATGGAAGCCCCGCCCCAATCCCTCATCCAGCCTATCCTACGCCGTACCATGTAAAAGTCCCGCCCCAGTTCTCTCCTCCGGCCTATACCGCGCCGCGCACGCACAGTTCCCGCCCACTCTGACCCGCAACTCGGGTCCTGCTCTTACCCTCGCGGTCGAGCCCCACCCCGCGGCTCGCGAGTTCCGCCTCCAATCTCGCCTCCTGCGCGGGAGCCCCGCCCCCTGCCTCACTCCTAGCCTATCCCGCACCGTTCTGTGCCCTCGCCCCGCCCCCGTCCTCGCCCGTGGATTGGCGCGCGGCTGTGACGTCACGGGTCAGCGGCGAGGCGCGCGCGGAGTTGGTGCTGTGTTTCTGCGGGCCCCGCGGCCATGCCCAAGCGGGGCTGCCCCTTCGCGGACGCGGCCCCGCTGCAGCTCAAGGTACGCGTGGGCCCGAAGGAGCTGAGCCGCGGCGTGTGCGGCGAGCGCTACTCACGGGAGATCTTCGGTGAGTGCCGGGGCGGGCTGCAGCTTCCTCCCTGAGGCGTCGGCCCTGGAGTTGGGAGGCCACGGGGACACGGCAGCCCCCGTCCTGGCCTGGGGTGAGGGAGTGGGACGTGAATGACCACAGCAGCCACCTCCCCGCTCCTCCTGCACGAGCCCCATAGTGAGCGGCCCGCTCGGTGCTCACTGGGGACAGTGTCCGGTGGAGGATGCCCTGGTCTCTGCGCTGAAGGTCCCTGAGCCCCGGAAGAGATCGGGGAGGGGGACGTCCTGGCTGGAGTGACCCGGCAACGTGCCTCTGCTGATTCCTGAGGCGTTAACGGAGCCCGCCCTGACCTGCCCGCCTAACGAGGGCAGCCCACAAGGAGAGACTGGCCAGTGGTGATGGGGCAAGCACAGGTTTGTGCAGAAGCGCCTGAGGGATGTCAGAGACGATGTCTTGGAGATGGGTTCTGAGCCGAGTCCTCAGGGTGATAGGAGGTAGCCAAAAAGAGAGGGGGAGGAAGGGTCACGGCCAGGCAGAAACAGAGAGGAAGGAGTGGCGCCAGGCAGAGAGGGGTAGGAAGCATCCGGGTCTGAAAAGGGGGAGAAAGGAACAGGACCAGGCAGAGATGAGGAGGAAGGGACAAGCCCAGGCAGATACCAGGAGAAAGGGACAGACCCAGACGGCGACGGGGAGGAAGGGACAGGGCCTTCATAGCAGAGGCCAGGCAGAGGGAAGGGAAATGGGGAGGTGGGAAGCGAGGACAGTGTGTTCAGAGGTCTTCTCACCTGACTCCCTCCTGCTGGCTCTAGGCATATTGGTACTGTTTATTGATCATCATTCTGATTGGGGTGATGAATGCCCTGGGGCAGTGCAAAGTGGGGCCCGAGGTCCAACAGTTCAAGAATATCCTGGGGGTTTGTGATTGATGGTGCCTTGGGAAGACCCTCTTCTCCTCTCGCTGCCCCCTCTCCCTCATCAGCAGCTGCTCTGCCCTCGTTCCTGCTCTAGGGTTGCTTTCTTAGGCCATGCAGGGGATAAAGCGAGTGAGTAAAGCTGTGGGAACTGTGACTGAACTATAAGCATGTGCTTCTCTAAGGACGCCTGGAGAATGTAAACACCGTGTAGGCCAGAAGAGTGACACAGGATGGGGCTAGGCCTGTCTAGCCCAGTGCTCTCTCCTGGAGCATTTGCAGGGGCTGTCACAGGGAGGGCTAGGGTTCACTAGCCTTCTGACATAGTGCAGGACACCCAGTTGGAACCATGACGAATTCCAGATTCCAAGCTACGGCTGCCATCCTGATCTCTACCTTGAGCGACCACAAGCCCTGAGGACAGGATTAACCTTATCCTGTAACCCCATTCCTACCCCATGATAAACAGAAGTGGGGGGAGAGAGCCAGGAAGAAGTGCATGTGTGCCTAGGCTGTCCCCAGTGTCTCCATTCAAGTTACCCCATAACTCTTTGCTTCCAGTTTCACGAGTTTCTGGGCTCTCTGCCTGGTTGTAATGCACAGTGGCTTGAGCCCGGGCCTGTCATGTTCTGGAGCTCCCAGGTGCCTGCAGCCCACGGCTCCAGGTGCTGAGCAGGCTTGAGTTCCCAGACGGATGCATAATATAGACCAGGAGGGTGGGAGGGCTGTGGGACCCTCTACCAGGGCGGCAGCTCTGCAGTGGCAAGGGGATGCGCTAGTTCGGGTTGAAAGCCTGCTCTGGACCCTGGCCGCATCCTGCCCAGGGGGCAGGGGCTGTTTTTGTGAATTAATGCTCCACAGTGCAGGTGTCCTCTGTGCATTACACGTATCCTGCTTTTGGGTAGGGAGTACTGGGGAGGAGGGCATAAGCGCGGTGAGTTGTGGCAAAGCTGCCTGTGAGTTACAGAAATGAGCAGATAGGAGAGGTAGCCCTTGGGTCAGTTGCAGGTGGGGCTGCAGGGGTGGAGCCTTCCTGGAGGAAATGGCAGCTGAGTCAGGCAAGGAAGGGAGAGAGGAGCGTTCTCAGCATGGAGACAGAGCAGGGTCCAGGGCACAGCATGAGCCGGGGTTCCTGCTTGACAGGGCATAAGGGACTCCCTGTGCCGTCTGAGGGGGCTTGTGTGAGACTGGAAGGATAAGACGACTGTGGGACCTCAGGTGCCACATGAGTGTAAACGTGAGGGTGATTTGTCTTCCCCAGAGAAGACCAGGCAGCTCCTCTTCCTCGGGGCCCAGGCCTTGTGGGATGAAGGCTGTGCTATCGTTCACCTGCCAGAGTCCCCGAAGCCTGGCCCCACGGGGGCCTCAAGGGCTGCACAGGGACAGATGCTGATTGGACCAGACGGCCGCCTGATCAGGAGCCGCGGGCAGACCTCCAAAGCCGGTGAGTGAAGGGCAGCCATGGCACGTGTTTTTCTCTTACTTGCATGCTCAGGGCCTTCTCCTCCCTGGGTAGTCAGGAGGTCTGACTCTCACTGACATCCTGGTGTGGAAGTCAACAAGCAACATCCACGTGTTGGGCCAGAGAAGTGGCAGAGATGCACCTGGGCTTCCCACCTACTGTCCCCCTGCAGTCCCCTCACATAGTTCACATGGTGGAAATGCTGGTCCCTACCTGTACTGCTGGTTAAAAATGCTGCCCTGACCTCACCCTAAATTTGGCTGGAGCAACTGGGAGGGGCCCAGGAGCCTCTGAATTAACCCATGAAGTAGTAGCCACTGGTGGGATACACAGTTCTAATATAGCTGGTCCTTCTGGTACTGGCCTCTGGGTAGCAGAGGGACCTAGTAAGAGAGGGAGCACTGAATGTGGAGTCACGTGGCTCACCCGTTACGTGGCTCATCTTGGATCTCTAGTAAGTTGCGGATCCTATGTGCTGTGCTTGCTCATGGGTTGTCGGAAGGGTCTAGTGGGGAATGGGGGCAGTGTGGGCAGGTGTGCGAGAAGCAGGTAACCTCACAGCCACTGAGCTCTTCTGTCTCCTTCCGGTTAATAGCATAATGTTTCGTCCTCGCAGACCTGTCTGGGGCAGTGTCCATAGCCTGCTCCTCGTGTGTGCGAGCTGTGGATGGGAAGGCGGCCTGCAGCCAGTGTGAGCGAGCCCTGTGTGGGCAGTGTGTGCGCACCTGCTGGGGCTGTGGCACCATAGCCTGTGCCCTGTGCGGCCTCCTGGAGTAAGTGCGTCAATCCCTGTAGCTGATGAAGTCCTGTAGCCCTGGCAAGCCAAGGGAGGAGCCGGGTGGGTGGCCTGTGTGGGGAGGGGTCCAGAACACCCACAGTGTGGCCCCTGATGTGCCATCAGGCATTGCCTGGTGGGACAGGGTGGTGATGGACGCTTGCCCAGCTGCAGTAGTTAGGTCCTTTATTTCACAGCAACCTGCTGTTTATCTGGCTATGGGCTCCTGTCTTAAACAGGTTCACTTGGGTCTTCTGAGCCCCATTTTTGGGGCTTACCCTGCTGTACTTCCTCCTGGGCTTGTTTTCTGTCTGATATCCTGTCTGAGCAGCCCCTGATTTGTGATGGCAGGTGCACACTGCAGCTCTCAACAAGGTGGAGTGCATGCATGGTCTCTTATGTGCATGTGTATGTGCCACAACTGTTGTATCCAGTCCTTTCTGTAAAGGACAGGAGAGTTAGGGGACTATTCCCATCACAGGGACTACCTTTGGCTGGGCGGGAGGGGGCAATGTAGAGCTTGCTCTCCCTGCTCAATGACAAAGGCAGCTTCACCTAACGTGCATGGACCTGGCTCTGTGGATCCAAAACAAGCGTGGTCCCTCCGCTTCTAAAGCTAAGTGAACGCAGAGCCCAAGGGTGGATCCACAGAGCCCCACGTGGCTGGACCCCCCACCCTGTACCATGTGCTTGATGGACTCCCCATGCTGTCCTCTTCCTGGCCTCTGCCTGCTTCCTTTCCCCCAATACCAGCAGAGTTCCCACTGAGATGCCCAAGCGGACCCTGACCTCACCATGGACACACTTATCTCTCATGGCCTCGGCACAGGGGGATGAGCTCTTGGCCCTGTTTTACATAGCAGTGACTTGCTCCAGGTCACAGGCCAGAAGCGGCATCTCCATGATACCACTTTCTGCATTAAAGGCAGAAAAAAGGGTCTCCATGTGGCTTTGGTCTGATTTGGCCACAGACCAGTGGCCATTAGTGTCCTACCTGGCGGCCTGCGCTGGTCCATGCCTGCCCGTCCATCCTCTGTAGGGCTTGCTGACCAGCTGCTGGGGGCTGCCCTGTCAGCCTGTCCTTACTGTGTCTCATGTGGCGTGGGGCCAGCTTGTGTCCTGGTAATGTCTCTCTTAGTCAACTTCTCCCTGTGACTTGCTGGGTTTCCTAGTCTCTATCCTCAGTCTTGACACATCAGAAAAAGACGCTAAATGACATGCTTCTGATGTGAACCACCGTGGTCCAGTGAACTCTGACAGGACATCTGGGGGTTTCTATGAGAGATTCTGACTTCCTAGAATCCAGGTTAGGCCCCAAGTGGGCTTATTGGCTGTGAGTCAGCTGGGGCTGCCATGACCAAGTACCACAGCCTGGAGGTCTGGACAGCAGGAATTAGATCTCCATCTCTGGAGTCTGGCTTGAAAATTCAGGGGGACTAAGGCTATGTGGGGGATCCATCCCAGTCCTGTCTTTGATAGTCCTTGTTGATGGCTACCCTCTCCCTGTCTTCTGCCACTTTCCTTCTGTGCCTGTCTTTCTCGTCATGGGGAGTTCTTCTTAGGAGCTCATTGTATAGGGTTAGGGTTTCCACCCCAACATGCATCACCTTAGCTAACTGCACCTGCAGCAGTTCTGTCTCAAATAAGGGTGTGTCCTGACATACTGGGCTTAGGGCTTCAGTGTTTGAATGGAATGATGGACACAGCCCAGCCCCTAATACCAGCTTTTCTCTTCCCCTGCACTGTTGCAGCTGCAGTGACATGTACGAGAAAGTGCTGTGTACCAGCTGCGCCATGTTTGAAGCCTGAGGGGCTTGGCCACTGCTAAGGCCTTGAGTGGACAGCAGCCATCCTGGATGACTGAGGACATGCACTGAACTGCAGGGCGGGCAGGCAGGGTGACTTTTACATGTTCTGTTTTGTACTCTCGACAGTCAATAAATCTTTATATTTGCAAACAGGGACTCTCATCTGTATCAGCGGTGCTGAAGGTGTAGCATAGGGTCTGCCACATGCTGGGGGCATCCATCTGTGAGGGCAAGGGCAGTGGGCATGCCCACCTATCAGCTCCTGCAGGCCCTCTGAGCACCGGGGGAAGTGCCTGGCTGAGGCCAGAGCACGTTCCTTCCCAGGCTTCCCAGCCAGTAAACAGGAGAAAGGACTCAATCCCCGTGTCTGGTTGCAAGCACAGAACCAATGCACTGGACCCCCTCACGAGGAGAGGCAGTGTTCCAAATCATCCCAAAGGCCACTGTCGTGTACCCGATCCATCATGTCCCGATGTCTCTCTGCTTTTTTGGTGTCTGTGACCCAGAACCCAGGTGGCTGATGGGCTTCTGCCCTCCAAGAGCTTTGGTCTAGCAGGGAGATGTTCCCCACAGTGCTGGGGACAACAGCCCCCTGCTCCATTGGAGTGGGTGTAGTTTGTGCAGGACCATGAAGGAAGAGGGATGACCAGGGAGGAGATGAGAGGCCTGGGGGACAGAAGGGGAAGCGGAGGGAGAGGTGTGGCCAGGCTGCCTGCCAGAGGCATGTCCTTACACAGGAGTCCCCTTAGGGTGGGCCCCTCCAGGGATGACTAGATGGCCGAACCTCAGCCCCCTAAGAGGCTCTGGACTGAAAGAGTCGTCATTTGAGGGGCATGTGCTGGGGAGAGTGGAAGGGCCTTCGCTGCTCCCGTGGGCGGCGAGGCACAGCCAGTGTTGAGAGACAGGTGACACTGGCCCTTAGCAGGATGCTGGTGGTGCGTGGTGGTGCGTTGGAGACAGGCCATGTGGGATTTTCTAGGGACCAAAGGTAGACCCCGGCAGTGTCGGGGGAGGGGTCCACAAAGGCAGCCAGACAGTGAGTTTCTGGTAGACGATTGAGGGCTCAGGGTGGGCTTGCAGAGGGCCGCCGGGTCTTCTGAGACCTCTGGCTGGTGCAGGTGCCATGGCAATGGGCACTCTCACCACGAGCAAGGGGCTGCAGTTCACCTGCCCATTCACCTGCTTCCTGTAGAGGCCCTGAGGCCTCCTCCCAGGAGCTTACAGCAGCCCAAGCTCTGCGCCCTCATTCTGTGACTTCCATGGTTGCCTCCTGAGGCCCGGCTCTGTGGCCAGGCGGGTCCATGCCTCTCCTCACACCCTCTGGCCCTGCTTTACCCACCCCACCCCCCACAGCCTCTGACCGCCCTGCCCTGGGGCTCCCTTGCCCCAGCCAGGCCTGAATGCATTTCCACCTCAGCACCCCTTCACCTGGGGGGCCTCTTACTTAGACATGGCTCAGAGGAGCACCCTAGCACCTGGATGCATAGCACGCTCCATGACCATCCCTCACCCGCCTGATTTCCTGTTGGACGTGATGGAGGTTTACTCGCTTGTTCTCTCCAGACTGAGGTGTGGGGCCCAGAAGGGCTGGAACTGTGCCTAGAACACGGCCTGACATGTACATCGCTTTGTAAGAAATATCTGTTAGAGTTCCAGCTGTAGCAGAGCAACAGAGAATAGCCCTTAAACAACCAAAAAAAGGACAAACTGGACAGCAGCCAGTGCAGGATTGTGACACCCAGGAGAAGGGAAAAACATGTGAGCCCAGGGTTGCCCCTGCTCTGTGTCCAGGGAGCTCCCAAGAGCGGGGACCTAGAGAGTGGGATGCCTCCTGGGACAAGTTGGGAAGTATGGGGATCAGGTGGCTGGAATCCACACGCCGGACACCAGAGTGGAAATCGCCACAGGGAGTGTGGCCCTCCAGGCCCCTGTGAATGAAGAAACTGACCAAGGCCTGGGAAGAGCCACTAGGAGACAGTAGGAAGCATGCCACACCCCCACAGCAAGAGGGAAAGAACCTTATCCCGCAGAGGACAGGGCAGGGCACCTTAGAGTGTGTTGACTCAGTAGTGAGCCAGATTAGCCCGAGACTAAAGACTGCTCTGTTCCTTTCTAACAATTTAAAGTCAATACTCACAAAGGCTGAACTCTTGCAAGAACTTTAATAGTATCCCAGAACAAAACCGAAAGAAAACATTTTGTTAAAGATACAAACAACATCGAAAGCACCAGACATACAAAGAAAGTATACCACACAGTGAGAAGTCCCTCAGTAGAAAGAGATCTGGAAATGACATGGTGGCAGAATATTGTCTCCTGAGTAGATGAGGACATCAAAATGGCCATCGTAAATGTACTCCATATGTCCAAGGACAGAGGAAGACAGGAGTATGTGTGAAAAGAAACAAAAGACTAAAAGCGGCCCAAACTGAACTTCTGGAGGTAAAAACACAATGTCTCAGATGGAAAATACACTGATGAGATTAAAAGCAGAAGAAAAGGTTAGTGAACTTGGCAGAGCAGCATAAACTGTCAAAAGGAAACAGAAAAAACCGGGGGAGAAAAATGAACAGAGCACGCACAGTTGAGCTGTGAGACAGCCTCACACGGCCTGATGTGCCTGCAATTGGAGCCCGTGGATCAGGAGGGGGAGAAAACTTTTTAGAGAAATGATAGCTGTAAAATTTCCTAATTTTCTGACAACAAAAACTCAAAGATCAAGAAACTCAGCAAATTCCTAATAGAAATATGGAGAAAATTATACAGGCATATCATCATCAGGTTCCTCCAAACCAGTGAAAAAGAAAAATCTGAAAACAGCCAGAGAAAAGAAGCTTTGTGTTTAGAAGAACCAAGATGAGAATGGCAACAGACTTCTCTTTAGCAATGATGCAGGCAGTGAACACCTGTACATTTAGTTCTGAAAGGGGAAAATTTAAATGGTCAGCCTAGAATTCTATACCCAATGAAAACACCTTTCAAAAGTGAAGATGATTCCACGTCTGGTCCTAGGTCTTGGGAAAAAAAGTGAAGGTGAAATTAAGACTTTTCAGACATAAAAAAGCTGAAAGAATTTTAAGAAATGTCTAAAGAAGCTTTTTAGGCAGAAGGAAAAATGATACCAGATGGAAATAGAATCTACATAATAAAGTATGAAGTGCACCTGAAATGGTCAGTGTGTGGGTAAATATTAATGGAATTTTTTTCTTTTGTATGTATTTATTTTTTAGAGACAGGGTCTTGTTCTGTCATCTAAGCTAGAGTGCAGTGGCAGGATCATAGCTCACTGCAGCCTCAAGCTCCTGGACTCATGTGTCTTGCTATGTCGCCCAGGCTGGTTTTGGACTCCTGGCTTCAAGCAGTCCTCCTGTCTTTACCTCTCCAGTTGCTGGGATTACAGGTGTGAGCCACTGCATCCCTTCCTTTTTCTTTTTCTTTCTTTTTTTTTTTTTTTTTTTT